TTCACCCAGCAACTTCTCTTTTTCTATTTTTTGAATAAATTAACCGAGATGGCTAATGCCAAACCAACACGGTGGTGTTTTAAGAGAGTCGGAGGTATTTTGAAGAACTCTACCGCATATGCATTCCGCTCCAAGTCCGAACGCGTACTGCTAGGCAGGCCCGTGTGTAAGGTCTACCCCGATAAAAGCCCCGATTTCTTTCCACCCTAGATCGCCACCGATATCGTGTCGTATGTAGCCCGCTTAACGGGGCGACTGGAATCAAGCTTCAAGACGCCGATAGTTTAGGTAATTTCTTTTTACAGTGAAAATAATGGTATTTTAAAAAAAGTAAATAACATAAGCACTGCTTTATAGTTTGTTCAGTTAGTATGCAAAGTTTCATGATCTTATTTAAAGTATTTTATGAATAACAGCGGTTTATTGTTCAGTTTGGAGGTAACTTTGGATTTTTTTTCTATCGAGAAAATTTCACGGAATCGTGTTTTCGTCTAACATAGTCCTTAACATTAATCCTCAACTTTACCATAATTTATTTCAAAATTAATGCTGCAATACTTTCGGCATAACGGAGGATCTAGCTAAGCCATTTGAGGTTATATTTCCCCTTAACAGCGTCTTATTACCGTAATTGACTGCCTTGTTGGTCTAGTGGTAAAGGTTTGGTTGATTGGTGATCATGAAGTGGGTCGTACTGAAATCAGTTATTTATTGGGTTTTTATGTCAAGATATATTCAGCAACCCGTCGTTAGGAAGTTTTTTTTAAATAGAATAAGGGTGACAAACGAGCACACAGTCCAGCTGATGGCAAGTGGATACTGTGGCCCATAGACATGTAATATTCTCGATTAAGAATTAAACGCAGATGCGTTGTCACCCCTGAGGACTAAGATGGAATGCCTCGTTTCCAGTAAAAAAGGGTCTCCGGATCCCTACACTCACCATACGAAACACAGCAGTATTAAGCTGCTATTTTACGCTGGTATACTGTGAGAGCGTGGTCCTTCCACAGTCGAGCCGACCCATTCGTGATACAACCATAATATAGCTGCAGCGTGGCTCTACCACGTATGAAAAGTTTGTGGTGTTATAGCCCCGTACCTCGGAAAGCCCGTAAAACCGTTGGTCCTGCAGCTGATCTCCCTCTGGTCGTTTTTTTAATTACTGTCCCATCGGACTATGTGAACGAGCGAATAGAGAGTCCATCTGTGCCTGCGCGTACACTCGTGCACTATAATCCTGTCCTGCGCAGATGGCAGTATCCGTTGGACTGGCCGCCGCGCCGTGACCAAAAATCGGTCTCAAAAATATTATTATGATTAACAATACAAATAAATATAAATAAAATGAGAACACCACCAATGTAGTCGGAGTCAATTAAATACACATTTATAATTTGAAAACAAGATCTTAATCAAATTTATATGGACCTAAAATTTAAAGGACCTGCAAGGCACTAGCTTTCAAATGAAAAAAGAAACTTCAAAATCAGTTCACCAAGACAAAAGTTCAGATGCAACACATAAAAAATACAGTTGAGTTGAGTATCTCCTCCTTTTTTTGAGGTCGGTTAAAAAGTTATTTTAGCGACGCAGAACCATTTGCAATTTTGCTTGCACACAAATAACTTGAATCTCTGAATAAGTTAGTATCGATTTACACGAAAGATACAAGTTGTTATTTTTAGGAAGCTTTTAGCCGGGCAACTGTTTATACTGAAACAATGTAAGGACACAACGGGAACTTTTCTAGTTTCTACTAAGTTGTCGAGTTTAAAGTTTAAAACAGAAAAAACACTCTTGCAAGCAAGTTAGACTTAAAATATTTTTTGTAAAAGTATCAACAAGTTTTTTAAATTTGTATTTAAATCACACGTATGTAATAATATTTTTATTAAAATTTTGTGGCATACCTTGGGGGAGGCCTATGTTCAGCAATGGGCTGTAATGATGATGATGATGATGATGATGATGATGATGATGATAATGTAATAATGTCCTCGAGACCGAATTTCGGTCACGGCGTCCAGTCTCAATGGAGATAGGCAACGCCCCACGACAGGATTATAGTACCCAAGTGTGACGTGGGAGAGTAAACCGACACGACCGGAGAGAGATCAGGCGCAGGACCCACGGCTTTACGTGCTTTCCGAGGCACGGGGGTGAGTCACCGCCAACATCCAGACTCCGGGCAGCTTCTGAGAATTTCTTGACGGAAAAACTTAACAATTGATTTTTTGGCCCGACCCGGGATTCGAACCCAGAACTTCATGATCAGAAGGTCGCACTACTACAACCACTAGACCAACGAGGCAGTCTACACACGTATGTATTGTATGCTTTAATATATAAAACACAAAAATATTTCTACCTAAGTCCATAATAGAGTTTGAAACTATCCAATCGATTTTGGTTGGTTTATATTCGGATGGTTTATTTTCACATGTTGACCCGGAGGTGGCGCTGTTGTCAAGATCCCGAAATCACCCGTGCGCAGCCGGGGCGGGTCGCCAGTGCATTAATAATTTGTCTAGTAAATTGAATGGAATCTTGAATTAGGTTCCAAAATTATTTTTATCTTCAACTAATATTAATAATAATCATCATCTTTATCATCATCATCAAATTAAAGCCCATCACAAGTCCACTGCTGAACATAGGCTTCTTTCAAGCAATGCACAAATCACATATCACGGTCCTGAGCCACCTGCATCCATCGACTACCTGCATCTTTGCCTGTGAGAAACGGTGAAGAGTTTCGGCATATAAAGTCACCCTGTTTTATATCTCTCTATAATTGATTGGTTAGTTTTCTCATAGTCCACACACCTAATAAAAAGTAACAGGTTGTACAATTCTGGGAGCGAGACGATTTGTTATGTTCCTCGAAAACAGCACGCAGGAAGTAGCTTAGGTGGAAAATCTGTCGGCATTTTTCCAATAGAGCATTCTCGCCCTACTTGAAGACCACCGCACGTCTGCTCCATGCCTCTGAGGCAGTTCCACAATGAACGAGGGAAATAAAGAGTTTCTGAAGGATTTCAAGTACCGCTTTTTCATCTTTTTCCAGAAGCTCCGCTGTTGTTCCATCTTCGCCAGGCGCCTTGACGTTTTAGGTGCTGGAGAGCTATTCTAATGTTGGTTCGACTTACTATCACCTACGACTTCATAAAGCTTCGCAAAACTAAAACATCATTTTTAATTTTACTTTTATTAAGGTTAATAATAACCATTCATACAAGGGAATATTTTTTTAATAAGCTTTAAGTTCAAGATTAATGAGTTTAAATAAATGTTTTAAGAAATTTGCTTTACCTGTAATCCATTGTAAATAGAAATTTGTATAAAGCATAGAACACAATGTTGTATGCTTAGGGCTGTATCTATATTACCCTTTTGCAAACAACAATTTACTATGGACGCATAAATTTAGACGGCTGGACGCTGCGGGAGTTCTAACGTATAGATAAAACAAGTTGCCAAGACGGCCAACGAATAAATGCAATCTATTTGAATTTTATCTCACTGCGGAGAATATTTTAAAGAAGCTTTAATGGAAGTCTGTTGTAAAACTACATAAGAAAACGTTTTCGCATACTGTGATCGACGATTAAAAGTTATTCTTTAAACTATTTTAATAGTGAGATAAATTTTCATCTTTCCTCTCTTGTTATTCTTCTTACAATTTAAAATTTAATATTATCTTGATTCTACGAAGAACTTAAAGTATCGTATCGAGCGGATAACAGATACTTAAACTAGTTGTAGTTAGTTGTTACGTTATTTTTATCCAGAGCCTTACTGTTTCTATGATACTGGATAGCTTTTGATTGTTACTAATACTGACATTCGTGAAATCACCGAAATATAGTCGAACAAGACTTGCTTTTGGTTCATTTTTTACAAATTTGTGTGACTTTAACGAGACTCTACGGTTCAGTATATAGAACCTATCAATTTTACTTGACAGATAAGTTACGACGACGACTATTAAGATGAACATGGGCAACAAAAGAAAATCAAATTAAACATCATGCCGTATCTACACCTGTGTTATTGGGGACATTAATTTTAAAATTATTAGCGAGTAACTTCACCTAGGCCTAAGTAATCTTATAGGTAAATCCAACGACTAAGAAGTAACCACCCATTCAAAAAAAAAAAAAAAAAAAAAAAAAAAAAATAATTCAACTCAATCGGTCAGCGTTCCCGAAAACATGACAATAGAAAATAGCGTATTTCTATTGTCCCATTCCGTTGTTGAATATTCCTTAAAGTTTAAAATCGAAACTATAATCAGTACATGTTGCCACTGGTGACCTACTACCATCAGGGACGTGACCTTTTATTGCTGAACGTATAAAAAAATTTAAAGGAGTGCAGCGAATGCAAGTTGCTAACGATAGGATCCGTTAAGAAGTATCCGCATTAAACAAAAGTAACTGACGTAACCCAATGAATCAGTAACCAGAAGTGCCAGTGGGTCGGTCATGTAGCAGAAGAAAGTTAAAAAACAAGTAAGATTTTCGAGTAGCAACCTCAAACTGAAGTGCAGTGTAGGGCGGTCCACCAGAAAGAAGACTATTAACGTGTCGAGTTATATCAATGGTCATAACGAGATTGCTGGCGATTTTCGGGAATAGCCCTTGGATTTGTGTTAAGCTGCAAGGACGATTGCGATGATAATGATGAAGGTTCCATGAATGTAAGAGATGTCTGTCTGTTTATGAGAAGTCAAAGTTCTCATAGATATATAATATTATTTCAAAAAAGTATTATTTCTGGAGTATGAATAATTTTCCGAAGAATGCAAGAGTTATGATTGGCATCTTTTAATCTATTCCCTGTTTAAAGTCGTACGAATTACCGCAGTATTTTAAAGGGTTCAGTTGTTAAAGGGCACGTTCCTAGAAGCTTAACATATTTTTATACACTACATTATTACATCTTAATTATCTTTTATTGCTATTTGCATTGATAAAACGTCAATAAGTTCATACTTGATTTTGGCGATTATAGGGTTGTCAGCAACACTGATGTCTTCTTCAATTGTAACGGTGTAAGTTTTCTCGCTGAACTGAGGGTAGTTGTCGTTGTCGTCTATTATGTTCACGTGAACTGTGGCGCTGCAATAAAATGAGAGGGTAAGTAGAAAACAGTTTCAATGAAGAATGATTTAAGATTACCGTTTTGAAAATTGCTTCAGTATAATGGTTGTATTTTTAATTTAAACCATCCCATTGATACCAGATGCATACGTTTTGTATACGTGGTAGAGCTAAGCTGCAGCTATATTATGGTTTTAGCACGAATGCGTCGACCAGGTTCTCACAAAATACAAGCGTAAAATAGCAGCTTAATAATCCTGTGTTTCCTGGTAGTATGGTGAGTGTAGAGATCTGGAGACCCCTTTTTTACTGGAAATGAGGCATTCCATCTTAGTCCTCAGGGGTAACAATGCATCTGCGTTTTGATTCTTAATCGAGGATAAATGTAGATGTCTATGGGCCACAGCATCCACTTATCATCAGGTGGACTATGTGCTCGTTTGTCACCCTTATTCTATAAAAAAAGATATCCAGACCTGCGACCTTGCAGCCGTCTGCCTAGTATGAAGATTATGGCAATTTTTCTTACACCGGGAGCTACTGTAATTCAGCAGTCGAGTTTTGCGGGCTGATGTAGAGAAAGAAAAAGAATCGATTTTCGTTGACATCGAAAATCGATATGACTGCAGTGAGATTGATTACCAAAATTAATAAAATTTAATTTGCAGTGAGTACTTTATTTTCGCTTATAGTACTAATTATGTAATAAAGGTTACCATAAAAATTATTTTGGAACAAATATCAAGATTTTCTTTATACATTGTAGAATTTTATTCATGAAAAAATGTTTTCAATAGACAAGACTTAAGGTCTTTTCTTTGAAAGAAATTTCACACAATAGAGAATTGAATTTCTTATCAGATTCAATATTTTTATTTCATTTATGTTTGTATTTTTTCCATCACGAAATATAGGCTTACTATCTAAAGATAGCATAATAACGGATATTGAGTCTGTGACAAATAACTCTAGAAGCATTTGATACGTATCAAACTAAGTGGTATGACGATTCTATTTAAAATCGAATTGAATGTTTTAATGTATTATAAAACGTATTCAATAGACACATTTTTATCATTCTGTTATATTGATATATCTATTTTTTTAATAAATAAGCGTTTTCTCTATACTGAGAATTTCTTCTGTACCATGGTGGTATCAATTTAGAGAATTATGTTCCTTGCTCTGCCTCTTACGCCATTGCCAAAGGGTTGTGAATTAATTTTGTAATTGAAACTCATAGAATTCATAAAAATAATATTTCTTTGCAGTTCTTTTTACTTAATTTTTTGTAAAATAGGGTAGATAAACTAGTGCACAGTCCATCTGATGGTAAGTTAATGCTGTAGCCCACAGACATTCAGATCTATCTTCGATTAAAAATCAAAATTCAGATGCGTTGTAACCCACGAGGACTAAGAAGAAAGACATCTTTTCGAGTTTAAAGTGTCTCCAGTTCTCTACACTCGCCATAAGAAACACAGCAATATTAAGCTGCTGTTTTATTTACGTTGATATTCTGTAAGAATGTTTCTCTTCCACGGTCGAGCCGACCCATTCGTGCTACAACTATAATACAGATGCAGCGTGACTTTACCACCTATAAAAGTAGCCAGTATAGTATACCAGTAAAAATAAAATACCTGCTTGACAATCTATCAGACATAGGACTGGCTTGGTCTGTAGCTTTTACTATGACAGTATAACGGGACACTTTCTCTCTATCAAGGGGTGCTCTGGTAAGAAGCGCCCCGCTTCTGCCGTCAACTCTAAATACGTCCTGTATGTCCGTCTGTTCCTTGTTGCCGTCAATTGATTCATTCACATCTTCTGGATTGAGACTGTCCGCTGATACGGAGTCTATCGAATATTCCACCTGAAAATAGAAAACTCTTGTTTTTACTTGCTTGATTATTGATATGATCTGTTGTACAAGTATTTAAATTTTTAGTTCAGCAAGCTAATTACTTCTTATGTTTAGGCTAATACTACACATTATATGAAGTTAATTTTACGTTTAATTTTGAATTTTGAATTGCCGATTTGATGTTAATAGCGTTCCTTTAGGCTTTAGATTTTTTGACCGTTCCTTTTATATTCAGCTATTCATAATATATCTTTTCATAATATAATAAATAAACAAATAAACACACAGGTGATACAAATGGAATAATTTGAAGAAATTATGGAATTTAAATTTAATCCTCAGGAACGACAAAGCTCTAGACTCCTTTATTTGCAGTTTCTCATGTATACAAGAGCTGCAGAAGCTACTTAAACAATTATTTTCGCATTTATGTAATAAAATACGTAAAAACATACTTTCCATCTGAATTGAAAAACGAGCAAATTCTTAAATGCGCTTAAATTATCCTCGTTATCTATCTTTAGCTTTCTGCAATCTCATGCTAAGTCGTAATTTCATTGGAAATGTGAATTTGACAGTATCACATAATATTATATAAGTACAGATGATAACTATAACAGTGATGGAGTTTTGGTGGAAACTTGATCGCCGGCGGATATTTGCTTCCGTTTTATTATTTAAATAGGGTTTCAATAAATGGATTTTGATACGTAGAAGTTATACGATTTTGTGTATTAACAGTTTCACGGTCCGCGAAAGAGACACAATCATTAATAGAATCAGGCGTTCCTTTGCGGAAATCCATTAAGTATATTAAATTTTGGTAAGAATTACTTCGCCCACAACTGCTCAATAAGATAAAATGATGTGTCTTACTTAGTTTGAAGAGCACCTCTCGCCCTCCCTCAATTGCGTGCACTAATCCCGTCACCACTAATCCCAACACTACTACACTAGGAAAGACACACCATCGACGATAATACGACACGTGTTTCGCCTCTATTCGCGGCATCCTCGGGTGATGTAGACTTTGCGGTAGCTGACCGCTAAGCTTAGCTAAGTTAAACAATTGAAATGTTCATACATGATTCATGGGTCAGAGAAAGGGTTAAGTGTCTGCACATGTGAAATATTAGTATAAAAAACTTACCTGTGCATTGTTACCAATGTCTTGGTCGGTCGCCTTTAAAGTGAGTACTGTGGTACCAGGGCTGGCACCTTCGCGAACTGACGCCTCATACTGTTGCATTTCGAAGACTGGTGCGTGATCATTGCAATCCAGCACGTTGATCTAGTTAGTTTATTATATAATTATTTATATTAGTAACGTTCCTATTAAATCTACTTAGTTATAATGAACGTTAATGCTTGATAGATTAATAGCACGTTCAGACTCGGCGGAAACCGTGCGGACGCAAACCGCGCGGGTCCGATCCGCGAGAATAGTGAAGTGTTCAGACAAGCGCGGTTATTGTGCGGTGCGAGGACTGCGAGGTAGGGTGACAGCCTTTCAGTTCAATGATGGAAGTTGAAGAGGCAATATGTGTGTACTTACTCCTACTCCACAAAAAAAAAAGGAAACGGCAGTATTGGGTGCATCCAATTTTACAAGATCGGTTCACTCATGGTCAGTTTGTGTCTTTATATGCAAAGTTAAGGAATTATGATTCCGAATTTTTTAACTATTTAAGAATGTCAATAAAGTCATTTGACGAATTATTGGAAATAATCAGTGAACAAATTACATCTTCTAATACCCATATGAGGTCAAGCGTATCACCAGAAGAAAAACTCGTGATCACTTTAAGGTAAGGTATTTATTTTTATTTAATAATTATCAGAATATATATTTATGTAATATAAGAATATATATTTATATTTATGTTATATTAGAATATATATTGGGTATTTATTTTCACATAATATCAGAATATATATTTTCTACAATAGAAGACTGTGAGTCATCAGTAGTGTATGATGAAGGCGATGGAGATCCCGCTGGTACAATTGTAGAGTATCCAGTAAAATATCCTTGTGGATTTGAATATGGTTGGCTATTTAAATATGCTGTATTATGCATGTTTTGCTGGTTTGTTGTAATGCGAAATGGCAATGGTAATTTCTGTCCCTTCTCTATTACTTGAAGTAATTCAATTTTAGTAGCCAAACGCTTGTTTTCTGGAACTTTTTTTAATTCTTTGTACAAAGATAAACAAAAAAGCTTATCATCATCTTGGTTAGAAATATTTTCTTGTAATTCTCTTTGTAATTTATCTCGTGACTGAATGCTCTCCTCTAATATGTTAGCCAATCGATCTTCTGGTGCACTTTTACTTTTTTTTCTTTTTTTGGGGGGAGGGGAGCGTATTTCACGTGCATTCACAAAATTATTTTGGTCTTTGTCACTGTCTTCATTATGCTCATTTTTCGCTTCTTCTATGTTACTAGTTGTTTTTTTATTTTCTACCGTCTTCTGAAGAAAGGAAAGCCGGTCAAAATACATGTATTTTGAACCTTTACATGCACCTGAACCAGAAGGAGCTGACTTGCCTTTTTTGAATTCCTTGTTGTAGGCATCACGTATGTTCTTCCATTTTTTTTTTGCAATGTTACACCTGAATAAGAAATTTATCGTTAAGAAAAATGTTAAGGTTTTCATAATATGTGCTGGTATTTTTTTTTGTTTCAGATATCTGGCTATTGGTTGTTCCTTTGGAGAACTTCGTTACAACTTTCGTCTTGGCAAATCTACAACCACAGGAATTGTCCGTGAAGTATGTAAAGCTTTGTGGAAAATACTCGCAAAAAAAGTCATGCCCGAACCGAGTGAAGATGTGTGGGAGAGAATAGCTATAGATTTTGAAAGATATGCAAATTTCCCCAATTGCATAGGCGCCATAGATGGCAAACATATAAGGGTTATAATGCCTGATGATTCTGGATCTTTATATTATAATTATAAAAACTATTTTTCTATAGTACTTTTGGCACTTTGTGACGCTAATTACTGTTTTACTTTTGTTGACATTGGATCATATGGAAAAAGTAGTGATTCTGCAATATTTAAAAATTCAATATTTTATAAAAGATTAATAGAAAAATCATTACACATACCAAAACCTAAACCAATATCTAACGCAGATCCTTTACCATTACCATACGTTATAGTTGGCGATGAAGCGTTTGGTTTATCGGAAAACTTAATGCGACCCTATGCGGGTAAAGGGTTATCATACGAAAAAAGGATTTTTAACTATAGGTTATCTAGGGCTCGACGTAATATTGAATGCAGCTTTGGTATTTTAGCAAACAAGTGGCGTATTTTTCATAGGCCTATAAACGTTAACATAGACTTTGCCGAAGACATAATAAAGGCATGTTGCGTGTTATACAATTTTGTTAGGACAAGAGATGGTGTACGGTATAAAGACACTTTGTACACTGCGCCAATGAGTAGTCTTAATAAATTACATGCAGGAAGAGGTACACCTTCATCTTTGAACATTAGAGATAGATATGCTAATTACTTTGTGAATGAGGGTCGTGTAGAATGGCAAGATACTAAAATATAAACTTATAAATATGTATATTACATTGGTAGGTATCTATATTATGTAAACACAATCACAAACAATGTAAAGTAACTACTAGGAGAAATGTTTAAATAAAGTACCTACTAACCAAAAAGTTTTTTCTTTTCCAATGAATCCTCGTTTATACCAAAAATCTCTACCAGGTCCTGCCAAGCCTTATTTTTGGCAATTTTATTAGAATAATCTTCACACTGGATGTCCCATATTGCTGGTCTTTTTTCAACTTCGTCAATGAATAGTTCGGTGTCAAAGCGCTCCATTGTCATACGTGCGATACGCGCGGATTCCACGGAGCAACTGAACACGCCCAGGGATTGTCATAGAATTACGTCCGCGCGGCGAACGCGCGAATTCATTTTCTTGCGGTCGAGTTGCGGCTACCGCGCGGTTGCATGGTCCGCGCGGTGTAGTATGAACGTTCTAGTACTATGCCATTATAATAAGATCCGCGCGGTTGACCCGCGCGGTTTGCGTCCGCGCGGTATCCGCCGTGTCTGAACTAAGGGTTATGGTATCTTCTGCGGCTGCTGGTAGCTACTATTTTTTTGAAAATTAAAATTGTTACCGTTGCCAAGACTTGGTCAGGACGATCAACAGAAATTGTTGTAGTAAATCGTTCCAAGCACAGGGAGACAAAATGGTTAGAGCAAGCGGGATATTGCTAGAATTTTAGAACACTTATGGGCTGATGGTAATGAATCACTGTAACATTGTTATACATAATATACGTGGAAGCGCCATGCCGCAGCTATATGATGGTGATAGCACGAATAGATTGCGACCGAGGATGGAAAATGCTCTTGCAAAAAAGCGTGTCAAATACGCGTGAGTGTACGCTAGCGGAGACAGTTTATACCGAAAACAATGCATTTCTTCTTAGTCCTCATGGGTGATAAGGCATTTTGATTATTTATTGAGAATAGATGTAGATGTCCATTGGCCAAAGCATTCACTATCAGGTGGACTGTGTGCACATTTGGCATATTCTATAAAGTTAAAAAACAAAATTATATAATCATAATAAACTATTATATATATCATAGTAGACAAACCAAACCTATTTTAGGTTGTCATAAAAAGTTTAAGCTGCAAGAATTTTATAGTTTGAATACGTTTTTTTGTAATATACTTATGTGCCTTGTTGTGATCCCATGTTGGTCGGAGGCTTATAGCACGGTAATTTTATCTATACAGTATTCTAACTCCATACAAACGCACGAAGCGAGAGCTATGCCTACGCGTCTCGATCTCGGCATGCGCTCGGCATGCAGACAGTCGTGACTGTGCCGCAGTGATGATTTTGTGAAATATATGAAAAAATGGAGGAAATAGAATAGAATAGAAATAAAATAATAATAAATTCGAACTTCATTTAAAACAAAACATATAAATTGTAAAGTAGTTGCAGGTATCTATCTATAACCAAGTAAAATATATTCCTTTTCTCCACCTTGTCCATGTTTCCCAAAACAATTTTTAATTAAGCATTATATTAGAATGCGGATTTTTTGTACTTTAATAACAAAGCATTTCGAATACGTCTCAGCTAAGGCGCAAATATTTTTCGGTCGCAAATTTATAAGACCGATTTGTTATTCAAACATAAACATGATTGTTTTATTAAATCTACCAATCAAAAAACGACACGCATTTTTGTTGAACACTTAAATTCACAAAATACCTATTATATTTGTTTAAAAAAAAGTATATTTACAATCATAAAACTAAATGGAAACACAAAGTAGGCAAATGTGAAAATGCTGGAGGCAGGCAGCCCTATCGCATGTTTACGTACCGCGCGGCTGTAGGCATTTATTTCAAAGATACGGCCGAGTTACAATACCGTATAGATAATATTACCGTGCTTATAGGTTGTTATGTTTGTTTGGAACTCATAACAAATAAGAACATGCCAACCGGGCTACTTCTTCTGTATTTCGTAAAAGGCAACTAATGGGATGCCTAGCTTAGACTAGCCACCTATCACTTCTTTCACAATTTTATATCTCAACCAAATTTTTATGGCTAAACGTAGTCCGAGCAGCTTATTCTCCTACTCCTTTTTACTGCTTATTGTTATGTGTGTACGTTAAATGCCTTAATTCATAAATTACCTGAAGTGTAGTAGTCCCACTTCTAGGTGGGAACGTATCATCTTGTGCCACAACTCTAAAGTAATGCACATCCAATCTTTCTCGATCCAGCCTTGCTTGTGTAGTCACCACTCCCGACCTTGTATCCACCGCAAACATGCCGGCGGATCGGGAATCCAACAAACTTGACATGGAGTATGTAACTGGACTGTTCTCAGGGTCCCTAAGGGTATAGTTTTAAAAAGTGTTAATTATTACCCGTGAAACTGGACGTTCATTAGCAAGTGCATGTTGAATTTTGAAATGAAGAAAGCGTACCCGAATTTAGGTTTTATGGACAAAATATAACTTTACAAATGCATGTTTCCCAAAATAAGGAATCTTGATAATTACAAACGCTTTATTTTTAAGTTTTTTTTAATAACGTTATTTTTATACTCGAGATATATACAAAATAATACGAAAAAGCTATATTAGCTTCTATTCTATTTAAAATTCGAGATATTTAAAACAATAAGCAACTAATTATCTAATTGTTAATGAAAAAATTGCAATTTACTTAAGTCGGTACTGAAATTGAATAACATCTAAAAGAATATTCGAAAATCCAATCGCGGAATATTACGCATTTTGGTACACTGTGGCAAGAAAAGGTTTCCATTTCGAAATTAGTGATGTAATTACGAAAATATTCTTTCAACTTTGTTGTAAAAATTATGATATTTATAATTAACATTTAGGAAAACACGAAAGAATTAAAGTTACTATTAGATACATTATCACGAGTTAGTTCTATAACTCGTGATAATGTATCTAATAGTAACTTTCACCCTTATAGCATCAACATATCCATAATGCACAGATGCAAGCAACGCATCATGCAAATATCATCAATATGAATTAAGCTAGTTTAGTTTTACGGTCTGCCGGCCATTGTCTGGCAACACTGCACCGGTTCGTGACATTGTTCCGGTCTCATGAAATAGATGACATCATAAAAGCCAATTGACCAGACAGATGGTTTGCATCTAAGGGACAAAACGCACTATATTTCCCATTCTATTCCAATAATAAACAGTGTCCGTGTTAATCGATATAAAAAGAATGATTAAGTTAATGTATAATCGTACATGCTTTCTAATAACATATTTACCAGAAGGTCTAATAGTGGAATAGGACCTGGTTGTTATGTCCCTGGTATTCACGGATCATTGAGTAGAGTAATGCGGTTTAAGGATGTAATGTCTGTTAATGGCAACGAACGAGCAGGGGGAAGAATAACCGCAAATAATTTAATAGCCTTGACTTTTCTTTTTATGTTTGATTCCTTTGAGTGCTTAGTAGCATTCGAGGGTTGCTTTAAACGAAATACGTTTTCGTGTATCCAACTTTATAACCCTACATCTAAATTTAATACTCCGAAGATTTAGCAAATATTAAATAGATACGGCTTTATGATTTATAGATTATGCTAAATTAAGACGACAGAAATTTTACCGGCGGCATATAAAAAGTAATTTGATTTACAATATATAATAAATATAAATAAACATAATCAGCAATAAAATAAATTATTTAAAATAATATTAATTTTAATAATAGAAATTGTTAATTCTGTATATATAGAAAAGTATTTAAGCTAATACATAAATTAGAAATATTTTTCATGAATCTTTTACGATGTACGTTTACGACATAAGTATGTGCTTACCGAGCTCTTACAGTTGTGACAACGACGCCTGGTTCCTGCTCCTCAGCGACGGAAGCAACATAAAGCGCCTGCTCGAAGTAAGGCGACTGGTTCCGCAATTCCCTCTTCACCCTTCGCGCTATATCTGTATCATTTAGCTCTTGATGATGGTACACTATTTTAAGTCGGTGATCGGAGTCTACAATATTAGATTTATCACAATTAAACGTGAAGAGTACTGATACTTTCCACATAGGCTCCTGAATGCATAAATCACTACTTGCTACCAAATCACCCTGGCTACTCTCGATCAAAAAGCGAGGGTCACTCACATCCAAGAACTGAACTTTACACATTTTTTGAACTGTCCGGGGTAAGAAAGCTGTTAATGAATTTATGAATTGGGATTGTTTTAGACATATCCCTTGCCATCGATCCGTAGTGGGTATAGAAAAACTCGCATAAGTTTCGGAAATCCATTGTTTTGCTTCAGCAATCTTAACATCTATGGCCATATCGAAAGGTACTAATGACAGAGATCTTTTGTTTCTACTCCTATTTCTAGCTGCAAAGTCTTCGAATATAGTATTCGTCCAAGGATTTGCCGTTGATAGCACTTTATATTGACTAGAAAATAATTCTTCTTCTTCCATTAACCTCCAGTCTATCATGTCGGGACGAAAAGCATATACTGCTTCTCTTCTGTCTCTGACGTGATCATCTTCGTATTGTAATGCTGCATCATCTTGATCATATACCCGATCAAAATCAATATCGTAAAGATCCGCATGTCGCCTGCTACAGTCTTCCCCTGTCACTAGCACTCTTATTGGCAGACTGTAGTAATCAATATCACGTATGCGTTCCGAAGTCGAGTCAACGTAGAAAGTGAAGAGGTTAGGGTAGAGAACACCATCGCATCGTAGTTTCTTCCTGAGGGTGACGAGCCCAGTAGTTTTATTAACGCGAAGGACGTGATGAACGAAGTTGGCAGTGCGATGTACGTCAATTGTGTAGGTACGTTCAGAACCTAGCTTATAGACGGCGGCATCTAGGACAACGTGACCCGGTGGCGCAGTGTCAGGGACAAGGATGAGGTAAGCTCGCGTTAGCGTTATAGCTAACGCAAGGAGATACGCGTGCGACCACGTCCTCGCCATTCTTTCAGCGATTCACCTACAGCAACGCCGCCTCACCCACCATTTGTTTTGGTTACCCATCTGAAACAAACAAAATTATAAATATTAATATTAAAACTCCTTTCTTTTTTAGGGTAAGTTATAAATTACGTTATCGTATTTTAAAGTGGTAGAGCCACGCTGCATCTATATTATGGTTGTCGCACGAATGGGTAAGCTCGACCGGGGAAGGACCACGCTCTCACAGAATACCAGCGTAAAATAGCAGCTTAATATTGCTGTGTTTCATATAGTGAGTGTAGAGATCTGGAGACCCTTTTTTACTGGAAATGAGACATTGCATCTTAGTGCTCAAGGGTAACAAATTATCCGCGTTTTGATTCTTAATCGAGGAAAAATGTAGATGCCTATGGGCTACAGCATTCACTTATCATCAGGTGGTGCTCGTTTGTCACCCTTATTCTATAAAAAAAGTTATAAAACAGTTCATCAAATTCAGAAACCACTTCATTGATTTCTGTTAAAAGGGCATAAAATAAAGTTTAGCTTAGTTTCAATAATAAAAGTGCGGTTTCAATCACAATAGGGTAGGTTAACAAATACAGATTTTAAGTTGCTAATAAGGATTATATAAATTCTTGAAATAAAAAAGCTATTATATATATAAATACAGATTTCTAAAATGTTTTAATGAACATAAGAAAACAATAATAATCCTGATTAAACGCTTTATTGAAAATATAATAATCCTCTTAATCTCCTATTCTCCCTAATGATAAACGAATTGGTTATGATAATTGACGGAATCAGGCGTTACTTACCGGAAATCCATTGTAATAAAGATATTAATAGTTATTTTTGCAACCATCCGCTAAATTAAATAAAATGATGTATCTTCCCTAGTTTGAAGAGCACCTCCCATCCTCCCTCAATTGCGTGCACTAATCCCGTCACCACCAATCCCAGCACCACTACTCCTAACACCACTATTCTAGGAACGACACACCATCGACGATAATACGACACGTGTTTCCCCTCTACACGAGGCATCTTCAGGTGATGTTGACTCTACGGCGGCTGACCGCTAAGTCGTGACTTGAAGCGGATGGTTGCAAAATAAGTATTAATATCTTTATTATGAATTGATAATGTCTTAAATCTAATATATTAATGTAATATCTAATTTTTATTTGTTCGAATTTTATGCTTTGCCATACCGATCATCAGATAGCGGAAAAACTGTCAAAATATTGTTTGCACTTCCGTGAAGGTTATAGGCATAGTACAATTAACTTACAGGAGGCGGCGCGCGTATCGTACCGAACAATTTATTTGATAAATTAATATGTACATCATTTAACTTCAATGAATGTACTATCATTCGCAATTAAACAATATACCTAACTCTTCTAAATTTAAAACGATATTTCCGCTAGTATTTCTTGTACAGCTGCAACGCGCCGGTTACCGGCCAGTTTATAATAAAAAATAATGAAAGCCACATGAATTTTATGCGTAGTACATCCACTGAGCCTCCTCATTCAGACACTCAGACAGACAGAGATTACCTCATGAGACGCATATTTGCCATAGTTGCCACACTTGGCAGGCGGGTTAGTAACCACAGTTTATATTCTGGTATTTATTATGTTTATTTTTATTCATTCCATTTTTCAATTTTTTTAATATTTAGATTTTTTCACATTCACCCAGTACCGTAGATACTGTTACGGCGTATTTTTTTAGATTGCCCTATAGGGGGATATTTACTATAGTTGCCAAGCTTGGCAAACGGGTTGGCAACCGCAGTTTTTTTTATTTTCAGTCGTTATTAGGAGGACGTTGCAACACGTATCTTGATTTGTGGATGATAAGGAGAAGTGGATATTCTTACACCGTCCCTTCAGAGTCACATTCACTCACACTCGTTAAGTTAATACATAATATTATTAATTTATTTATAATATTATGTATTAACTAATATTATAAATAAATTATAAGGTTAAAAATAAGGTTCTAGTTCGTTTAAATAATGTTATAGTTCAAAACATTGTCAAATTTAATGTATTATTAATTGGTTTTGTTTTATGTATTTAAAAACTCGATTATTTTAATGCTTAAAGAATAAAAGTCGAAAGTTAATTAAACCGCAACGACGAGTTATTTACTTGAAAATAACTTGCGCATTTTACCGTATTTTACCGTGGATAGTTCCGCAAAAAGAAAAGCCAATTGTGATTCATCACACGCTTCATCGGCCGTAGTGTCACATCGGTTTCTATTTAGGTACAATCCCGACTGGATTGGAGTCGGCTCACGATTCTGTTTGATGCATTTGGCCTCTTGTGAACGCGACGGGTTGGAAGTATAGCTCTCGTTTTTCTTTTACTGTGATTTATTTACACGTAACATATTTCAGTACTCCCTGAGTAGGCGATTTAAGTTAAAGTTATATTATGAAGAAAACTTCCTTAATTTTGTTCACATTATTGTTGTATATTTTAAACATTAATAACTTAACTTTACATCACATCTTAAGCTGTGAATAATTATTTGGTAGATTCTTGTGCATTTAATACACTATTATTTCAGTTTTTAAACGGTGAAACCATAAGAGCTTTATTAATACGATTATTAAAAAAGTTTAAACCATTTTTTTACTATCTACTCCGTTTAGAATTTACATATAACCAACGGAGTAATTGGTGGAATCGGCTAACTCACCTTGGATATATTGTATTACAATCATTAAAACAATTACGTACGTTCTTTTGGCAACCTGATTTTGTATGAAATTTGTTAAAAATTATAATTTCATACATAGAATTACATACATAAATATAACTTACAATATAATGAGAACTTTTTAAAGCAACAGCGAAATGTTTAATAAGGGAGAGAGCTCCGTTACATTGTTGTAGACGACACTTCTCTCTATATCCGTGATGGCTATGATTGTTATTCCATCCCCTTAATTAGGAGCGACGTGGAGTGGTCTGAGCCTCAGACTGTCTGAGGGGGGCTCGGAACTTATGGAAGTGCATACACCGGCGATTATTTCGAGGAGTTATACCTTTGTTACTTTAAAAACGAGCGTAGTCTAAAGTATGGTTGTCAGATTTAAAAGCAATGTAATGTAGTCTAAAATTAAACTAGTTATAACTAAATATTTTATTGAACATATTCTTACTGATATAAATTGTCTGCAGTATATTTGATAAGAAGTTAAAAATATATAGGGTAATTTTACAATATAAGCGGCCAAATTTGCAGAGAAGTTTCAGAATACGTAATATAGGCAAATGAAGTACAAAAGTTTACAAAAAAAAACTCACACATTCTGTCCTTTTTATCTTTTTATTTCAAAATGTGTGGTAATGCACTATTACTGACTTTACTGCGCACACACACAAATTCGTAAGGGTCGATCGGTTAGTAATAACATTGTTGCCCATAAATCACATTTAATTTGGGATAATTTAAAATAAAAGTAGAAGCTTTATCTACTCGTATTTTAAAAACTGTAATAACGGTTTACCATTATTTATATATTTGAATTTAAGTCTGTATAATCATCGGAATTTTAATGATACACAATTATAATGTTTTATATTTTATTTTTAATTTAGTCGATAAATTCAAATTCTGTAAATCGAATTTTAGATTATTTCGATTTGCATATGGTTTACATATTGACTAAACGAAGGTTTTGTTTTCTTTAAGGTTCTTTTAAAACATAGACCCTAGAGAAATATTATAATGCTTATTACAATAACACGCAGTATTTTTAAATTACTAGCGTTATAAAATTTAAGATGATCAAACACCATGTGTTTTATAGTATAAGGGTGACAAACGAGCACACAGTCCACCTGATGTTAAGTGGATGCTGTGGCTCATTGACATCTACATTTATCTTCAATTAAAAATCAAAATGCAGATGCGTTGCCAGCCCTGAGGACTGGGATGGATTTCAGTAAAAATATATATCCTAGATCCCTCCTGGTATTTATTTTTATATGTTCGTAAAGTTTCATCATAAAGTTTAGCCGTTCCAAAAATTAGCCCGGACAGATGAACATACAGGCAAAATTTTAAAAATGGTAATTTATGGTTTTGTACCTCATACAAGGAACCCTCTGAGTTTAGTAAGAGTTAGTATTTTAATATTACAAACAGACTATTTGAACTAAAACTTCTTTACACACGCTTGACTTGGGGAGTAAGCTGGCGAACGCGTGACGAAAGCGTTACGAAAAGTGTGATCGGGCGAGGCCATCGGGAGTTGAGTGGGTATAGCAGTGCGCACGCACATTTTCCTTCTCTCTTTCTCTTATAGTCAGTTATTTTTCATAATTTTATTTCGTTTTGAACAATTTTATGAATTAGTATTTTGTTCAATACGTTAAACATTCTACGTTTAAAGTGAATAAAATTGTAAATTCATTTTAAATTTCATGTTTTGTGAATTCTCGGGTGAATAATAACAAATTATGGAATATATGTATATATATATGCGGAGCTAACGAAGTTTTACTTCAGTCGTGTGGTCCTAAGTACACTCGCTTTTTTAATTTTATTTAATTGTATAGTATTTAATAAATTATAATTTTAGATTTCTGAGTTACACTAAAGCTCACGGTCTCAGTAACAGACATGATATATTTTAGAGCTTTTGTGTTCAGAAGCATATACTGTTTATTGTCCGTACGTGAATCGGGACAATTTTCCTCAACGCCAGATTTACTGGTCTCTCTTAATACAGTCGGTAATAAGGCACGTAGGGGATGAATGAAGGGAGAATTTTAAATTTCACAGTTCTCACACAGTGGTCGATACGTGTAGCCACGTAATTTGTCCGCCATTGAAATATGTAAGTGCTGGATTTATAAATGCCATTTGTAGCACGAATAATATGTTTCGCTTCTGAGCACTATTATCTGTATGTACGAGTACCTATATTTTTTATTATAGAATAGTGGTGACGAACCAGCACACAGTCTACCTGATGGTAAGTGGAT